TTTATAATAATATATAATATTAACTTAAAATATATCAAATATATTAAATTTTCTAAGATACACATCATATGCAAATTCATAATTTTTAACTGCTAAAATAATTATTCCACTATTAATATTTTTATTTTCATAAATTTTGAAATAAAAATCATTTTTTGATATAAATGTAGATTAATGGATTTGACAAATTCAATTTATATTATATTCTCAAGGTTTTTGTAAATAATATTTTTATTTTTATAAATAATATATACTTTTATTTAATTCAAATTAAAATATTAATTAATAATTTATAAAATTTTAAGATACATGCCATGTTCAAATTTATAAATATTAAGTACTAAAATAACTATTCTATTATTAATATCTTTTGTCGTATAAATTTCTTGAGATTAAATAAAATTTTGATATAAATGTGGGTTTAAGAAATCATTTATTTTATTAGTTTATAAAATATTAGTTTTGAATATTATTTTTTTTATTTTACTAAAATTGTTAAAAACAAATGTAAATTTTTTGCATTACATGTGGACACAAGAATAGAAAGAAGTTATATTATTTTAATAAATTTATAAGATGATGATTGGCTTAATTTATCAAGCGCGCATTTAAGGTTCTGGCGCCGGGTGATTTGTGTTCAAATCACACCAGGCGCAACTTTTTGGAAATAAACGTGCACACAATAAGACACTGAGTCGCCAATCCGTATCGTCCGTATTGGTGTGTATCGCTCCGATACTTCACAATACGGGCCGATACGAAGGTGTATCGCTCCGATATGCATGATTCAAGGGATATAGGTTTATTCGTAGTGTATCCCGTACCCCCTCTAGCCGATACCGATACGATACACCCCACATTGGACGTATCATATCGATATTTAAATCCTTGGGTGGGAGGGCGGCAACAAGATTCTCTAAGAATCCGTTACTTTCGTGCTCTCTTGCGCTTTTGAGTTGGCAAAAAGACAATTAATATTTGAATCTTCTATGCTTTATATCATTATGCTAGCTGTGGCCCATTCGATGAACGGAAATTTTGAAAGATTTAATAATTTTATTTACTATTAATTAATATTAAATTAATAATCAAAATTTGTTGTTAATTAATTAAAAGTAATCAAAGTTATTGTTAATATTTTAGTAACTTTATTTTTCATTTAATGTTGATTTACAGAAAAGTAATTATTGTTAATTTAATATGAATAAATATTTTTTAATAAATTTAGTTTTATTAATAATTTGTAGTACTTTTAATATTTTTATTATTTTTAAATGAAACTTTGATTAACTTTAAGTAAATAAAAATAATTACAAAAGCTAACATTTTTATTAATTTCACTAATAATTAACAATTATATAGGAATGACAACGAGGTAGGTTTAGGGTGGGGCACCCCATCCCTGTCTCTACCCCATAGTCAAGACACTCTATTCCATCCCTGCACTGTCCCCAGTGTCAGGCAGGTTCAAGGCAAGGCAATCACACCCCAATGTTGGGCGAGTTTCAGGGCAAGACACCCCAATCCTTATCAAGGATGGGGAATCATCAAATTTCCCCGTCCCATCCCCAATATTGGGCAAGTTCAAGTAGAGGTGTAAATCGAGTTGTGCTGGGTTGACACAACATGACCCGCATGTGAACCGTACAAAGTGTGGGTCGTGTTGTGCTGGACCATGGGGCATCCTGGGCCGTGCCTCCCTCCCTTGGGATAATTGGGGGGTCAGTTCGGCAAGGGCCTGTGCCATGGCGTGGAGCAGGCTTGTCCATGGGCCAAGCCAGGCCGGGGACCGGGCCAAGCTTTGAGAGATCCATTTTTTAAAAAATTAAAAAATATATTTAAATTTTTATTTCATATAATTTTTTATGTATACATTTAGACTTATTCATGGGTCGAGTAGCCCGCCAGCCTAGCCTGGCTTGACTCGTTATTTTTCAAGCTAGGACAAAATTTCAGGTCCGTGGGCTTGAGCTCGAGATTTGTCAAATAAGCCTGGCCCGATACTACATATATAAAAAAGTATTTATGTTATATATAATAAATATAGTATACATATATGTGCTTCTTAAATTATTAATAAATATCAATTTACTATTAGGATATATAAATTAGTTTGTTAATTTATTAAATTATTACTGAATTAATATAATATTAGTTTATAAATTATACTATAATAAGACATTATGTTTATAGATCGGGCTTCGGGCTTGGGCTCAAGCTTTAGGCTTTATATAAGGGTTGAGCTTGGGCTTAAGATCTAGGCCCGATGGTCAGGCCGGACTCTGGTTAAGGCTTGCTCATTTTCCATTAATAAAGAGGCCCGTGTTAATTATAAAAATATGATTTTTTATAAATTATAATTTTTATTTAATTCCAGTTTAGTATAAATATATATATATATAATTCCTATATATTTTAATATAAAATTTGTTATTTAAATATTATATAATAATATTTATCTTATACTCATATAACTTTCAAGTTGAGCTTATTAGGGGTTATTTAGCTTGGGCCCTATCTAGTAAAGCCATCATTGGACTCCAAAAGTTTGATACCCAATTAGACTTCGAATATGATTATCCCTAATAATGTGTGAGCATGGTGCATATCTCAGCTAGACCTAACTAAAAAGAAAATAGTTGTTTGAGCCTGCAAATTTATAGATCTAATAGTTGCTTAAGTTATAAACGATTTGTTACTTTTTATTAATTATTAAAATATTATTAGCCATTAAGATATAGTAATTATTAAATTACTGTATTTATTTAAAGTATAGTAATTTCTCGAAGTTATCATATTTTCAGAAATATTGCTACTTTCTTGGCCAGAACTAATTAAATGTAATTTCCTGGTAATTAAATATAACTTTTTGGTGATTAAATGCAATTTCTACTATTTATAGCTTAAATTATAATTATTGTTAATTATAGTTTAAAAATAATTATTGTTAATTATATTACTATTACTAATTAAAATGCATTATTTTTCATTATTATTCAGTAATTTTTGCAATAAAATATAATTAATTTAATTATTTAATTTTTTTTAATATTTGAATTAAGATTTAGGTTTTTCAGAATTTTCGGATTTTTAATTAATTTTTGGTGTTTTTTATTATTATTCAGTAATTTTTGCATATAAGTATTTTTCAATAATTTTCAGCATTTATTTTTGCATATTAGTCACTACAAAATTAATTTGCATTATCTTTTAGTAAAAATAAATTAAATAACTAAATAAATACTATAATTAATAAAAAGTACAGCTAATTTTCAATAGTTTTTAACAGTTTCTATCTTGGGTATTTTTTAATAATTTTTGTATTTTTAATAATAAAATAATATTAATTGTACTTTTTAATTATTTTTAGTAAATACCCTTATTAATATAAAATATTTTTAATTTACAATATTTATTAATTATTTTTAGTAATTTAATTATGTTTAGGTTTTTCAATTTTTTTTTTGGATTTTAATTAATTGTTGGTATATTTTCATTATTATTCAGTAATTTTTGCATATGAGTAATTTTGCAGTGAAATACTATTAATAAAACATGTTCTACATTTTAAAATTTCATTAATTTTTATCATTTTTAATGAGTTCATTATGCACAATAAAGGTGTCAAGTCATAAAAATTATTAATTAATTAAAAATGCAGTAATACAAAGTTATCTAATAATATTATTACAACTATTAATTAATATATTTATATTTATATTTCTTACTATTAATAAAATGGGTTATGCATTTTAAATTTTCATTAATTTTTATCATTTTTAACAGTTCACTATGCACAATAAAGGTCTCAATTCATAAGTTATCTAATAATATTATTAAAGGTTTAAAACTATCAATTAATATTTTTATATTTAAATTTTTTATTTTTATTAGTGTTTATTAAGTTTGATTTTTTAAGTAGAATTGAAACACATTTTTAATATTTACTAAGGCTCAGTTTGGAAGGAGTACAAATACAAACAAAATAATACAAAATATAAGGTTTTGTACTCTACATATTTGCATTTATATTTCTTCCAAACTGAGCCCAAGTTTTGTTAATAGTTATTTTTAGTGAAACTTTAGTGGATTTTTTAAATTAATAATTTTTTGATTGTTTAACCTCAGCCTAGTTATATTATTACTATTCCCTCTCTCTCTCTAATGTCTTTTTTTTAAATGCAATAATAACATGCATTAAAATAAGAAGCCTTGGAAAACCCAAAGGTCTCTCTAATAGTATGCGGCTTTATTAATCTAATCAAGATAAACAATGATTATATCTTTTTATATTTTTAAAATAAAAAAAATAAAAAAATTAAAGAATAGATAAATAACTTCTCTCAAATGAAAAATGACTATCAACAGATTATCAAAGTCCCGAAAGAGACAGATCCTAGTTTTACATCCTGAAACAAATCATTGGTTCTCGTGACAATTTGATCTGATCTGATGGATATACATTTAATATATTTAGTCTGAATCAGCTCAGGACTTGATAAAACCGGTCCTAAATGAATAATAATTGGAATAATAGAATAGTAACTGAAATCAACACATCAGTATAAATCTTATAATCAAAACCAGTCCAATCGATTCGAGTATCGGGGCCGACTCGATCCATCGATAGCCCTGCACATTTACCCTTGGCTATCTTCAAATATGCCACACTTTTGAATTCGATTGAGTGTTCAGGCCTAAGGAACAAACAGACAATAACTCAACAAGGATGTAAAGTGATTGGAACGAATCGGATATAAATGGAATATTTTGAACTTTTCATGGAAGATAAAAAAATCAAATTTTGTTAACTCTAAACACAATTGACATTAAAAAATTCGACTAAAAATGATATACAACACAGGGTTTGTTTGGTTCAAGGGAATAGCAACCTGGAATTAGAATCGGAATGATTCAATCTCATTCCAAGTGTTTGGTTAACCGGAATGAGAAGAAAGGGAATCCACTGGTCATTCCCGGCCTCTCCCCAGGGAATGCGATTCCTATTCTGGTTTCTGGTTTCATTTTTATGTTTTTTGGACAAAAATACCCTAGTTGAACATAGAGCCGTCACCAAACAGAGACTGCGAACAATTCCAAACCATCTTCTATCATGGAAAAGAGAGCCGAACCAGCCTCCGACAGGGTAAGACCACTGCCAAACCATTCTCCTCATCCTCCTTCTCCTTCTTCTAAATCAAACCGCCCATGTTCTGATCCAGTTCAGGATCTTCTTCTTCTTCCCTTCCCCGCCTCCTCTTCCTATTCCTTCCTTCTCTTTTATATACTAAGTTACTAATTAATACGCGATCGATCTACTTCTTCAATCCAGGTAATAGAAACTTCAATATGATTCATTGATATTTAGATTTGACTTTTTGGGTAGAGCGGTAGAGGGATTCGAGGATTGAAGATTTTATTATTGTAAGTTTTCGTCTCTCTTACTTTGTTTTATATTCTTCACTTGTATCTTGTGGTTTTTTCTGCGAGCATTATGTAATATCTTTACATGTTGGGTTGTTTTGTGTTAACACGGTTAACAGAATCGTGAGCACCCCAACATGTGTGTGTGTTATGTTTAGGATTTGGTGGGCAATAATTTGAAAATATATGGTGTTGTTTGGCATATCTTTTTAGTAAGATCCTCCACTGTCTAAATAGTCAAAAGATGTAATGAACTTTTGGGTCTTATTTTTAATGACATAGTTTAATAAGTATCCTACTCTATCATGATCTACAAAGTTGTTAAAGAAAAGATTTTAGATAAATACAGGAAATTCCATTTGAAGCATTTAGATTTCTTTGTCATTTTGGGCTTTTATAAACTTTTTAGGGTATAGGTCTTTATGGCTTCTTGTCTTTCATTGCCAAACACTTTTAATCGTTTAAAAGATCGAAAGACCATACMAAAAAATGTGCCAAGCATCTCCTATATCTAATGGTCTTTCTAAACCTTTTTTTAACCCATCAGTTTGCAGACTTAATCTAATGGTACAATGGTTTAATTTCTCACTAAACTGGTACATCAAAGGCCAAGTGAAGGAGAAAGCAAGTACAAGGCTACAAGCTAATCCCATTTGCCATTAGATCACTGATTTATTTGTGAGATCGATCCATTTCAGCCGAAACAATACTCTGTGTGGATCCCTTTGAACCCGGTGCAATAGTTGGTCTTGCCCGGTCAAAGAGATTATTGGGAATTCGTCATGGACTGGAAAATTTGCATGGGAATTCCACTCAGCATGTATCTTATCCTGTCATGCATGTATCTAGGCGTAGATTCCTGGTAATTCTTAGGTTCTTACTACAAGTGAGTCTCTTACTCTTAAAATTCAGGCTATGATTGTACCTTCCATAATAAAACACAAAATTCTCCACAAAGATTTTTCATGGTATCAAAGCCAGCATTACTGTTTGTTGCACGACGACGGTTATGGGCTGCAGATCTTGTTCCGACCACAGCCTATTATCAACGACTCTGAGTCTCAGTGGATGAGCTCATTCTCTAACAAGCAGGCCGCATAGCTTCCCATGGCAGCTTTTACGATCCACGACCCTTTCACTAAGCGGTTAACGATCTTGAATCGCTGGTTCCGAAACGCGTAATCTCCGTGTATGAACCTGTAGAACAGCGATCCTACAGGGATCGGTTCTGTGGTGCTCGCGACCGGGGACTTGGAGATTCACCGCGAATAAGAACGTTTTGAGAGAGTTTCCGAGTGACTATGACTTCCTGAGCGCGTTGGCTAACGACCGGAGCCAATCAACACCAACGGGTTTTAGTAGCCAGTCGCCGGATAGACATTTTTGTCTCTTAGTGAAGAAGTTCTTGCTGCGGAGAGCAAAGAGATCGCCCGAAGGTGAGGCCCAGCCGTTCGATCCGGTCTGGAGGTCCACGCGTTTTAGGGATCCTCCGTTGATAGCTTCATCTCTCTAGTCCCCTCCGTCGTCACACGATTTCGAGCAGACTCCGACAGATTGTCCACCGGAGCTCCGGTTCTTCTGCTTCGTTGAGCACATTATAGGCCTCTTCTGTCTCCAAAGTCCAAAGACTACTGCCGCTACTACTTCAGTCCGGAACTCCCGCTGCCGTCATAAGGAACCTTCTCGGTCCTTCCGCTTCGACGACGCTTGGTTTTCGCTCGGCGTTGCGGGATCGGAGGAAACCAGGTAGGAGTTTGGGTTTGACTCGGAATCGGCGGGCTCACTTGTTTTAATTTCTTCGTGAGTCTCATTAGGATCGTCCATCTACGTGTTTCTTRGAATCTTGTATAAATTTTATTGGTTATATTTCAAATAACCATTCAAGTAGTTGAGAGATAGCATTTAACCCCCTGAATTTTGTTTTACAATATAGACCAATTTAGATTTGCTCTTCACACAAGTTGCAGCCATGCATAAAATACCTCCCCATGACAACATAGAAGTAAGAGAAATGTTCTAATATTCTGATGTGCGGCTGCAAGTGTTGTGAGGAATGCGCTCTACTGAGCAAATTTGGATTCAACAAAGACCTCCCAACTGTATATAGGTGAGTCTCACTATTATATTTGTGTCATGAGTTAAAGGAAAAGAAAAAAAGAGGGAAAAAAACGCTGAAAATGAAAGTGGCCTGATTGGTTGAATATAATAATAATTGTCTCTTGTTAATAAAACAGGGTTGGTTATATAAACTTACATGGTGTTTGGAAGTATGAGCTCTTTTTGGGATCGATTTTCAAGAAAAAGCGTCCATGCTTCCAAGACTCATTTCTCACAAAAACACTTTTTCCATATAGGCATTGAGCAATACTATACTGTTTGGTAAGGTGATTTTCATCACAGTTTTTCATGTATGTGCTGACATGTAAGCACCACATAGGATATACATCAGCCAATAATTGTTGGGGAAAATGGTTCACCGATGCATAAAACGCCATTTCATGCATCGATGGGGTCTTGATTTTCAAGGCATGCCCGGTTTTTTAATAATCGGCTAAACCAAACAATGAGATATATGAGCGTTTGTTGAAACGCTTATGTGGATCAAATGTGGTGTCGTTTTTTTTCTTTTTTTGAAAAATGGCCATGATTCCAAACATCCCCTTAATATATAAATTCACCATTGCTACATACAAAGTAGGTGTTTGGAACTAGACCTGTTCATGGGCCGGGCCGGGCTTTTACTTGTCACTAATGAAAATATACTAGGCCCGAGCCCGAGCCCGGACCGACCAGCGGGCCTATAACTTGGACTCGAGCCCGGCCCTGGTAAAAAGCCCAAAGCCCGAGCCCGACCTAATTGAAAAAAAAAAATTTCCCTATTCAAATTAGAATTAAAAATTCAGATAGTATTTTTTTTCTATTTAAATGAACAATGGGCCTACAAGATGGTATTTTTCCCTTTCTTTTATATTTTAAAACACAATTTTACATTCTTAAATCAAAAAACTTATTCAAATGGATATAATCACATAACTAATTTTAAATTTAATATTAAGTCGGGCCAGGCCGGGCTATTTTGACAAAAGCCAAGCCCGACTCGAATTTATTGCGGGCCAAGCTTTTTGGCCCGAATTTAAGCCCGCGGGCCTATAAGAATGTCCAAACCCGTCCAGGGGCCGGACCGGCCCGTCGGACCACCCGGCCCATCAACAGGTCTATTTTGGAACCAATATGGTTTTTCAAAAGACTGTCACATCAATGCCATGTCTAAAATCCATTTTTTTCATAAAACACTTGACGTCTGTTCTGACATAACATTTGGTGTTTTCTTATTTTTTTATTGTTGCTAGCAGTGGTATGCTGAGATAACACTGAAAAACATCTATAGTACGCTGACATAACATTGAAAAGAGAAAACGTTTTCTAATAAAACCGTATACATGAACAAAAAATGAAAGGGTACCCAAAATGAAAAACTCCTACAACCCAAATATGGGTCTCTCAGTTCAGTCCAAAACAAGTGGTAAAGACTAAAAATGGACATGGGAAAATAAGGCAGAAAAAAAAAAGTTGGCCACGTCAGATTCAAATATCATTGCCCTGGTACACCGAAACACGTCTTCGTTATATTAGCAAAGCAAATATTGTGGTCCCATTAGCACTGAATTATCCCTAGCTCTCATGAGTCTCATCCACCGGATCATGGCCACCCTTCGTATGGACCGCATCGTTGCCATAATACTCGTCCTCATCGTCCTCATCATCCTCATCATAGTCATCGTCTTCGTCATCGGACGATAGCCGTGCTAGCCAACACGTTCCATACAAATGCCCGTTCAGACAAACGAAATACTCTAGTCTACCCTCGTGCGATCCAAGCCTCCTCGACGCGCTCTTGGGCACAAGCTTAGCCGCTGTCATGCTCCACACGCGGGCCCCGCAGTAAGGACACCGGATCCTCTCTTCCAGCTCCACCTGCCGTCTGATCAAGTAAGCTCTCGTCTTCGACTTCGTAAATCCCCTAAATACCCCTCTGTAAACACCCAAATCCTCCTCGTTGTCCCCCATCGGGTGTTCACAGGGATCGCTCACGTACAACAGGTCGCCTCGGCACTTCTTCGTTAGGAAACTCCGGCCCGACGTTTTCGAGAACCGAGTCGCCTTCACGAAGTGGCCCGGCGAAGCTCGGTTGACCCAGAAGTTTCGAGTGGGGTCGCATCCACAACAGAAGAACAGGAGTTTGGCCAGCGCGTTCCACCCGCCCCCGACTCGGCCGTTGGGCGCACCGTTCACCAATGCTGCTATCATGCGCGGCGCTCTCGATACGCATAGCTTCCTCCATAACAGCCTCTTCGCAATCGCACGAAGCTTCCGGTTCACGCAAGCCGTTAGACACAGCACATGGGGATCCCAATTGATCGACTCGAAAACCAAAACGAGAATCCGCTCGTTTAGGATCCCCGAGTCGCCTGACTCTGAGTCATCACTCTGCGGGTTGGGTCTCGGCCTCTGGTTCGCGCTCATTTCGGAAAGGCAGCACGCCAGCACCGCAGCAGCACACGATGTTGGTATGCACGCGAGTGAGCGTATATATAGCAATGCCCGGAAGCAGTTGGAAACGCGTTGCACAGGGCATGATTGATTAACTGTTTAAGAGCTTTGAACTAGAACACGACACGTGTCCAAGTTGGACAAGCCAAGGGGACGCGTGTTAACGAAAGAGACTGATACTGTCCTTTCGATACTACAAATGAGATGATGAACGTCAGCGGCTGGAGTTAAAGTGGAGGTCGTACGCCATGCTCAGTCCTTTGTCTGAAAATATCTTTACTTACTACGTGGCGTGTAGTGGTTGGAAGAAAGCCACGCGGTTTATGGAAGTGCTTTCATCAGATATCGCAATGGCTTCAGCTTATGTTACTCCTATACGCGGGTGCATACTATCCATAAACGTGTATGGCGGATTCCAAACCCTTTTTCACCTCCGCTTATCAAAAACGAGATCGGCTTCAGTCACTGCAACGCCCGTTCCAAGACTGTTTGAACGGCCTTTTCAGCCTTGCATCGGAAACATTTATGCACTTTTATGCTTTATTTCATAGGAAGATATTCTCAATAAGGCTATGGTGGTTGTTCAAACGGGCCTGTATAAAAAAAAGCATGGTATTAGTAATCAATGATGGAGACTGGATCTGCTCCTCACATAGGGTGTCTCACACTCACATCCTACTATGCATTGGTAACATCTTTCGTATTTATAAGTTATTTTTCATGGGAGATGTTTCTAATGTACAATGAATGTGCATGTGAGGCACCCAAGTGTGAGGAGTAGATCTCGTTCCTCCATGATGAACAAATGCTTCAAAAAAATTATAAAGAAAGAAAAAAAAGAAAGCAATTTTTAAAGGGACTTCTAGGTATCTAGATATCTCAGAGTATTCATTCCATTTTACATGTTCTTTACTTTTAAAATAGGATAAATTTCAAACAGGCAAATGCCCCAACTATTAGGGTATGTCATTTTACTTATCAACAGTTTCAAATACTTCCTGATGTAGGGGTATCTGGCCGACTTGCATATTTTGACACGTGGCATTGGTCAGATCCATCCTGGCCATCCCGTAGATCCTAACATGTGGCATCGGTTGGATGCACCCTGACCATCCATCACCAATCAATGCCAACCGCCACCACCTGCTCCCAATTATTCCTCCTCTTAGACAATTCCAACTATAAAAAGGGACTCCCACATTAAGGTAAACACACAATGGAACTTAAGCTTTAAGTCTCATCTCTTGCTTGGTTCGACCCCTTAGAGCCCGATACTAACTTGATCATCGAAGCCTTCACCCCTGGGATAACTCTTGGGGCTTCTAACATCTTCTTTCTCTCAGTAGGTTGGACCCATCACCCTTGGACACTAGAAATTATGTTGTTGCCCTTGGCTCCATATCTAGCAACAACAATTGGCGTCATCTATGGGAACGTTTTCAAAACTTTCCCTTAAGAAAAAACAAACCTAATTTAATCAACAAGTGTCCTTGAAATGGTTGACAAACAAGACCCTGTCTCTGATGGTTGAAACTTAGTTGCGATTGACTAGTTCAAGATAATCCTAAACAGGTTGGACAACGTGGCCCAACGATTGGACAACATAGGGCATCCCGCAAGAAGCCACCCACAGGGTGGCTGCACCGTCGAAAGCCATGGGCAACACAATGGGCAATCCGCCTGTACCCGGCTAAACCAGCGCTTGGGCGGCCTGGAGAGAGTCGACCCCTCGGAGTCTAACACCAATAGTCAATGGGCTGGAAAACACACGTTCCAAGACTTCTCAGCTCCCCAGCTGAGGGGCCGACCCTATAGGGTTCCACACAGAGCACAAGAACCTCGGTCTTTAACACCATTGCACGCAGCAACCAGTCAGGATGATGGTGGGCGCTCGGACCACTACAGTCCCCCTCTAAGAGGCCGGCGCCACACCTCTCCCCCACCAATTTTTGACCTTTGTGACCTCCTCAACGATCACCGTGCCCATAAGGCTCAGGACATGTCGACTTCCGAGCACAGCGGTGAACGAAGCCGACCCGTCCCGCATGATAGAGAACCAGGACCAGGCTAAAGTGACGATGCCATACGTCGACCAACCTCGGAGATACTCAAGCGCAAATTAGCACCCTTCTAGATCAGCTTCAACAAGTAAAGGAGGGACGAGGTGATGCCTCCACCAGTTGCACTACTTCATCCAGCCGAATGGAGGCAATCGTAGATGCCATCCTCTCCAAGCCCCTCTTGCCAAATTTTAAGGCCCCGGCGTTGGAGACCTACGATAGGAGTACGACCCTGAGGACCTCCTAGAAAGCTTCCGAGCACTCATGATCCTACACGAGTACTCCAGCACCCTCATGTATTGGGCCTTCCAAGCCACATTCAAGGGAGCAGCACGCCGATGGTTTTCCACACTACCTCCATATTCCACCACCTCTTGGAAATAGTTAACGGACCTCTTCCTAGGTCACTTTATGAGCAGCCGGCGGTATTAGAAAATTGTCATCTCCCTGATGTCTGTCAAGTAGAAGAGCGGGGAGAGCCTTTGGGCATATATGAAGAGGTTCATCTAGGGAAGAAATCAAAGTCAAGGACCTCGACCCTTTGATCTCCATGCACGCAGCCTTTAGTGGCCTCCAGCCTGGACCCCTTAGCTGGTTCATTTCCAAGACTTCACCCAAGACTAAAGCCGAGTTCTTGAAAGTGGTTCATAAGTACATCGCCAACGAGGAGGCGGAAGCCAATAAATGCCTCCAAGAATTAGAAGGCGAGGCCAACTGAGGGCCTAGTGACAAGAAGACAAAGGACAGGGATGGCCGTGATGACGGTCCTACCAATAAAGGAGGAGAGTAGAAGCTGCTGCCCCCTTCCATCAATAAGTACATGCCGCTAAACTCCTCCCAAGTGCACATAGTAATGCAAGTAGGGAAGTAGGAATTCATGAAGTGGCTGACTAAATTTATAGCAATACAAGCCTGTTTCAGTTACAAAGGTAGTTTTTTCCTAATCGGCTAAATCCATCTAGATTTGGTTGTAGCTTGAGTAAGCATCCATGAAACTTAGTAGCTCAAACCCTGAGGTTGCGTCTACCAGGCAGTTTATCCTAGGGAGTGGGAAGCTGTCCTTTGGGTAGGCTCTATTGAGGTCGGTGTATTTGACACACATGCGCCATTGATATTGGCCTTCTTTACAGGTACTAGGTTTGCAATCCAGCTCGAATATTGGACCTCTTTAATGAAGTTTGCTATCAGGAGCTTCCCTACCTCCTCATCCACTATCCTCCACCGCTCTTAGGCGATGTTCCCTTTCCTCTGTCGGACTGGTTTAACTAAAGGGTCAACATTTAGCCAATAAGTTATGACAAAAGGGGTCTACGCCAGGATTTTTTGTTGTCAACCAAGAAAAATCTAAATTACTAATTGAAAAGCTTACGAATTCAGAACCCAGTGGTTTCGTGAGAAGGGTTCCGATCTGTACCATCTTTGCAAGTCGGTATTTGAGACCAACACCAAGATGGTGTCCTCCATGGGGCAAGCTCTCTTGTCGCTATTCTCCGGGGGCGGCTCCAAGTCAGCATCAACGGTCTGCTTTTCCTTTGCCCTTGAGCACGACCACATAGCACTTCCGCAACTCGATTTGATCTCCTCGCACCACTCCTACTCCATAGTCCATCGGAAATTTCACCGACAGGTGATAAGTCAACACCACGGCTCTGAGGGTGTGTAGGACTGGTCGGCCTAAGTTGGCGTTGTAGGGCGAGGGAGTCGTGACCACTAGGAAATTTTTGGTCGAAGTGCACATGGTTTGGTGGTGAGCCCGTTGTCACTGGCACTCTTATGTGGCCTAGAGGCTTCACCACTTCTCCACTGAAGTCGAACAGGGGAACTTCGGCCAGTTGTAGGTTTCTTTCTCTCCATCTCCATCTGCTCGAATGCCTCCAACAAGATGATGTTCATCGAGTTGCCGGAGTCGACTAGAATCTGCTTTACCTCAAAGTCGTCTATCACTAATGGTGTAATGTGTAGCAGCCTAGTAGGGGCATTTCTACCTTTTCCCATTGTAATTATTATAAGTTGTCGCCCTAAGTATAAATACTAACTTAGGCGCCGCTAGCTACTGATTTTGAATAGATTTCCTTTTCTTTTCTCCTCTCTCTTTCTCCTTTATTTCTTCTCCTTCTCTCTTCTCTCTTCTTGTTCTATCGAACTACATGGTATCAGAGCTCTGATATGGGCACAACCTTATTAGATCATGTTTTCTTTCCATTTCTAAAAATCTTTTTTTATTGAACTCCATCGTGTTCTTCATTTGGGTGCATGCTTAAGCCCTCGATTTTTTCTTTCTTCTCTCTTGGTTGTTGAACCAAGAAGAAGGGTGTGGTGGCAACCGAATGCAGTAAGGTGTTTTTTTGGGTTTGTGGCGACATCYGACTCCGTTAAGTATTGGTTTCTGAGGTTTCTAAATGTGTTGTAAGTCGTGGAAGCCAGGTATGTACTATTACATTCATGCATAAACATTTGACCACTGTGAATGTCACAATCTTGAGGTTGTAGGGGCTGGTTGTCTCCTCCTCTTATAAACTGAAGTGTTTCGGCTAAGAGTTATTGACCTACAGTCCTATTGAACCGATTTTTGGAGCCTTCTTATTTTTTTAGAAGAAAAAACCCCTTATCTCATTTTAGTTTTTTGAAAAAAAAACATCAGTAATTTTTTTGTGGAAATGGCTCCTAAGGATTCAAAAAACTTTGGTGTTACTTCCCAGGAAGGAAACCTAAATGACGGAATGGACAACATGAATTTCTCTATGTCTATTACCCCCTTTGATGGCCTGAATTATCTTGAATGGTTCAAAGGCATCAAACTTTATATCATAGCTAGAGGGAAGGCCAGTTATATAAGTGGAAAAATAAAAGAACCAAAATTTGGTACTGCTAAACATGATCAGTGGGATCAAGAAAACAACATTATTATGTTATGGATGTTAGGCTCCATGTTGCCTCATGTAAAGAAAAATTTCATATGGGCC